AATGACTGGCAGGTGAGAAGATGATAAAACAGACTCGATAAATTTTGACTCCTAAATATAGAGTTAATCTATAATTATCAATTGTAAGAATGGCTTTGTTCAAGTGACCCTAGGATATTCTTTCCTGTCTCTGAAGTACTTTGTTTTAAAAAAAGACAAAATCACCCAGGGAAAATGTCACCCATTAATTGTTTGCTTGTAGTCTGTAGCCCACCAATAAAGATAACACCACTGGAATGTCACAGTGGTTCTGCTTTTCTAATTATTGAAGATTTTATTTTTTAAGTGGCTACAACCCAGCAATGTGTTAGGGTATTCCTGTTTTGCTTATGCCTTGGGACTTAAGAATGAAATGTGGTGTACAGTCAAAAAAGATAATTTTAAATAGAACATAGAAAACATTCAGGGGGCAGACTATTCTGAAATGAGAGCTTTGTAAAAGTACACTGTTAAGTGGACTTAATTGTTAGTGCCACCATGCCTGGCACAAAGCCATTTTTTAAAAATATTTATTTTTTAGGTGTAATTGGACACAATGCCTTTATTTACTTGTTTTTATGTGGTGCTGAGGATCAAACCCAGGGCCTCACACGTGCTAGGTGAGTGCTTTAACACTGATCTACAAACCCAGTTCCCACAAAGCCAGTGTAATAGGAGAATTTTCAATCTGTCAAAGTCTTCAGGAATGTACGATGTGTTGGTACATGTATCCAGAAGCATATAACCATCTTATAAAAAGGAACAAAAAAAAGGGGTGGGGGAGAAACTGTATTTTATTTGGTTAATTTTAAGCTTGTAATAAAAAGTAAACTCTGCTAGAGGGTCTATAGTTTATAATTTGTACTTTTTCAGGTACTAAAATCTAGGATAAACCTGATGAAAATGTGTGTGTGCGTGCATGTACACATATTTTATATATATATATGTATATACACACACACACATACACACATACACAAATATATATACATATATATGGTGGGGGGAGGGAGAGAGGGAGGGAGAGAGAAAGAGAGAGAGAGAGAATGAATGTGAGTGTGAGGCACACTCATTACAGAATGAGAACAATTTTAAAATGTAAACAAAGTGTTTGGAGTAGACAGACTGCATAATTTTAAACCATAAAGTGATGGGAAAATATCACCTTTTCCCTGACAATTTTCCACACTACACAATTCCAATATGATAGTGTTCTTTTCTACAGTCACTTGTTTCACTTGTTTTCACTGGTACTTCATTGCCCTTTCACTGTTGCTAGATTTTTCTTTTAAATTTATTTTGATATTAGGGCTCTATCTGAAGTGTGAGGAGTAAAGATTTGTTCCCATGATGTAGGCTCCCTATTTACCTCTCTTATTGTTTCTTTTGCTGAGAAAAAACTTTTTAGTTTAAGTAAGTCCCATTTGTTGATTCTAGATGTTAACT